ATGAAGGGCAGAATTCGCTTCTGGAGACATTCGATTTTGTAAAAATAAAGTGAATCTGCCAGGGACACCTCCTCGAGGCTTCGCCTTCTAAAATGTTGGTCCTGGAAGCTGTCAAAAGTCGACCTTTACAAAGGTTTCATCCATGCGTGGCATACACAGTTGTACACACCAACTGCTCATTAGTCAATAACTTTTCACTTAGTTGTTGAAATTTGTTTTTCTTTAAAGTAATTGATATATTAGGATCATAGTTTACTATAGATATGCAAAGAGTAGGCAGATCTTAACATTTGAATCAACGCCAATGATTTTTTACACGTAAAGTACGAGATGTGTAGCGAGCATTTCTCACTTAATTTTCACAACGCAAAAACTAATACAGTTTATTACTAGGATTAAAATCTTCTTGTTTTTCCGTATATATAACAAGCTTAAACTCTATTATATCTACTGCTTAAAAAAGAACTATGTTACGTCAACTGTGTGCTAAGTTATTAGCAAATGAGCAGTTGGTGAGTACAACTGTGTATGCCAAGCATGGTTTCATCATCCATAAGTATGCACCCACCGGACTTGATCAGCAGGTTGTCATACACACCAAAAATCTGAATCGAGTTCTAGCCAAATGGATTGCTGAACTTATTCCAGCAAAACCACTTTGTACTGAATAATTAGCATGCCAGCATGTGCACTTTTTTACAAATTCATCGAGCGATTACTAGCCGAATTGACCAGGAAGAGAGCTGAAGTAAGAGAATTGAATTTATCATATGATTAATTAAGCATTATTTCCATATAAGGTCTTTTTAGCAATTGTTTATTATCTACTTGGATTGAATGAAGATTCAATGCAGAGAATTGCATTAATTTATACTTATTATGAAAGCGATAACAAATGGATAAAATATTACTGATACTCTTGCAAGCGTGGCAAACAAAAATATTGATGGACATCCAGCAAAGTACTGTCTAAAGACATTTGCTGCAGCAACAACAAAAAATAACAGATTTAATTAAGAGTCACTCACAATTGTTTTCATATTGAAAGAAGTTAGAATTGCTGAATGTTTCAGTAGCTTTATTTTGCTGATCTTTCATCAAGTCCTAAATTAGCAAAATTTTGCTGATTTTCAGCGATTTAAGTTTGGGGTGCACAGGTTTCGAGCACGGATTTTAGCAACGGTATTCTGCATGAGTGATCGATTCGCTTGCTTACTGACCCGGTATGTCTGTAAGTCTACGCGGTAGTGTATTCGCAGCACTGTACTACCGGCGGCATCATACTTTTTACTCAAATCGCAATCGGACATTACCTGGGTTGCTTCTGATGGACTTCACGACCTTTCCATAGAGCTGGCGGTTGTCAGTTCCACTCCGGTGTTTACTTTGAGGCTTCCGATTGGTCGTCAAGGTTTCGCTGTACGTTTCGAGCACGCGCCATACGTTGTTTCTAGGAAAATTCAACACTATAGCAAGCTTGGACGCTGGCCACGATGGATTTTCCAGCTGTTTCCAAAACAAGAGCGTTTTATGAACTAAAATAAATGCACTGTTATTGTTATTGTTGTTGTCAACAAATAAACGTCAAAAGCTTGTTCCATTACTAAGTGGGCTATGGCTTAGCATACCATTTTTAGTTGTTTTCCATGAAATATAACTAGTTTTTCTCAAATCCATGCATTTTTAGTTCAATTTGTGAAAAAAAAATTCATGAAATATTCACGTAATTTTCTGCATATAAAACGATAAAAAATATTTTGATTTTCGGAGTTTTGAATTCGTTAGATGTTGTAATGGAGATTTGTGATGTTGGATGCGGGAGGAGATTGGAGGGCGGGTGTTTGACGCATAGCGCCTGTCAATTTCGATTTCCGAGTGCCGCAGTCGGCGGTTTTATGATTCGTGAGCGCTCGCGATTCGTAGAATCGTTGATTGTGACTGCAAGTGGATTTGGCGGATTTTTTGTGTCGGACGCTTGTTTTTTGCCTCTTCTTGTGTCTAACATGTGCAAAGTATCATTATAGCGTCTAATGGTTTTAAAATTCTTGGTTGCGTGAAATATATTTGTGAGAATATCTCTTTGAGATTTTATTAGTCACGTTTTGTTTGTAGTTTATATTTTATTTCTTTCATGTAATTATCGTAAATAATAGTTATTCAATAATAGATAGTTCATCCATATATTCGTACTTTGACGCGAAGCGCTGTGGATTATGAGATGCTCGATGACCCTGGAGGGATCGATTTTGCTTACTGAGCAGAAAATCATGGATTTAATCCCAAGCTCTTCCACAGCACAATAAATCGCCACCATCATTTGTATATTTGATATTGAATATTAACCTCGGAAACTATTTGCATATCAAGCGAAAACGTAGCCCTGTATTGTCGCGAAGCGTTATGGTTCTGAGATGCTCGATGACCCTGGAGGGATCGTGTTTGCTTACTTTGCAGAAAATCATGGGTTTAATCCCAAGCTCTCCGTCATGACTCTTAAAATTCATGATCACTAAACAAAATGAATATGTTCTTTCGATAGCCGGCTATCGAGAGATTAAATAAACAACAAATAAACAATACATACTTTTGGTTGCATCGCCAACTTGAGGTGAATCCTAACCGAATACCCTACCCAATCCTCCAACTCCGTAGCACTTAAGAGGGTGTCGCTAAGTCGGTGGCCTCTCGTTAAGTAAGTACTACATCAACATTTCCTTCCCTATCCCTAGTTATGGTAAAGATGGGCGTGGCCGGGAATAGCGACAGTCATGCTTCTGTTACTCTTGTTTAGATTGGAACCAATGTTTACTCCCCATCATTATTCCTGAAAGTAGTCTAACTGAGAATTTTAGAAGAGACGTGAGTGTCGCTAGTATCCAATCTACGAAGTATATCATAACAACGCTAACGCTAACGCTAACGCTAAAACGATAAAAAATATGTTTGGATTAAATGTTTAAAATTTGTACTAAAATTACTAATATGTTCTATGATTTTGGTCAACTTTGAAATGTCCACTGTGTCCATTTCAGAAAAGTTAGCATTTTTGATACTTGAAAGGTGAAGTTTAAAAATTTTTAAAATACACTTTTTTGTTATTGTATATAAAAGTTTTCTTTTGACGAAAATTTGTAATTTTTTATTCAGTGTGTATTTTTCAATCCAGTGTCTTACAACTTTGTCTCAGACGTAATTTCGATTAGATGAACCGTATTCGTGCTATGATTTACAGAAAAATATCGAATATACGCCATTTTGAAAATATGACGTGAGGCAAAATACAGTAAGGAATCCTTATTGCCAGGGTAACGGGGCGTGAGTAAAGGGTGTGAATAAGGAACCGCGAATAAGGAACCGCGAATAAGGATACCCACAACTTATGGGATTTTCACTAATGGGGGCTGTGGTGGATTATCTAATTTATTTCAATATATAAAGCTATGCTGTCTTGGACAAAGTTGTTGAACTGGGATAGACCAAGAAGCCTGTGTCGTTGGATTCAGGTTTAATTGGGAACTACGCCACTAGAGGCGCTTCACTTTATGATACTTATGACGGTCGCTATAATATATGGATCTGAGGTCCAACATAGAATATTTCGTGATCCTGGCCATATAGAAAGTTGCTGCCTTGAGCAAAGTTGTTCAGGTGACCAAGTCCTTGCGGATGGTGGTCATATTATTTCAAAACTCTCTCACTACGCGGCGCTGGTGTGCACATGAACTTCCTTAATAATAACATTAGCTTCAAGGCTTTGCTGCACCTTGATAACACTCCGTCGCATCCGCCCACCATAAGCAAGCCCAACATAATGCTTCTATACATGCCACCAAGATAACGTCTTTGATTCAACCCCTTGATCAAGGCATCTTCCAAAATTTCAAGCTGAACTATGTCAAGAGAAGCTACAGTTTTATTCTGGAAACAGCCTTTCACTAGCGGATACACGAAATAAGTTCAGCATCAAGAATTGTTTCGACTGCTGGGATGTGGTATTTCGCAAATTCACAAAAGCAATGAAGACGACAACGAGGATTTACAGATCATGTCCGAAATTCAACAAATTCACGGCAAGTTTGGTGCACCGGGGATGAAAAACACAGTGAAATCATAAGAGATGAACCGGCTACAGTAATTGAAATTGTTTGCAAACTGGACCCATCTACAATGAATATGGATTGTATTTTCATCCCACCACGGCAGAAATCGATTTCAAAATAAATCAACTCTCCGAGTTCGAAAGCCTCTGCACATTGGACAGTAAAACTGGGCTTAATCAATTGATCAAGTCAGTTGAATTCAACTGACTTGAACGCGAATTGAACGTATTTTTGATTTTTTTTTTTATGTTTTTGGTCAACTCAACTCAAGTTGAACCAGGCTCAACTTTTCAAGCCAAATGTCCCAGCCCGGCAAGAAGGATCCGGTAATAAGGGAAACCGGTAATAAGGTTTCCTGTCTGTAGGCTAATTCCAGCACAAGCTTGATTCGTTGCCCCTAGTGAACAATTATGCGAAGCTTCATGGAATTCGGAGATTGAAAAAAATAAATTCGTCAGTTTCCGTAGAACGTGGAACTGCTCAGGAGTCTCATATATTTTTTTATAATCTATCTACAGACTAAACTGCCTTAAAAGCTGTTTAAGTGGCTTAAGGACAGCTTCAAATGAAATTTTATCTTTCAAGAAGCCCTGAATCAATACACTAAAATGTGTACTATATTTTCAAATTTTGCATTTCAATACAAAACAAAAATATTAACACAACCTTAGTTTCTTTTGAACCAAATCATTATTTAAATTGTAAAGCTTCATTTTCTTGTGCGCACCCTCATTTTGGGGATTTTATTTTATTTTTCATAATTTCAAACTAAGAAAACATTTATAGCATTCCTTAGAAAACATTTATAGCATTCCAGCAATCAGATCCAAATATAAACTAATTTTACTCACAACATAACACAGTTCAACTGAATTATCTTTTCTTTCATCTGAATTCCAGGCCACAGAGGACCATTGCTGCGTGTAAACGAATCCATACACGTGCCCAGTCTTTGAAAAGTAGAAAGGTAAGCATAGTTGAAGATTTTATTCATTTCTAAACGGAAAAGCCATTATTCTATTCATTCCACCCCCTCGAAACCACAAACTCTTTCCCCGTTTACACAATGCCCAAAAATAGAAACGTTATGAAAGGGGCTCTAGTTTAAGGTAAATTTATTAACGGTAGTCGAGATTTTATTACCGCTCATTGCACTGGACAGGAATTTGAATATCATGTGCCTTGGGCCCAGCGAACCGAACCACCAGCCCAATATAAGGTAAAACAATCAAACACGCACTTGTCCGTACCACCGGGGCGCGGTAATTCCACGTAGGACTTCGAAACTTGTTGACAGAAAGCCTAACCGACTCGGAGTTTATTTTATCCGTCCTCCCTCAACCCGAACAATGCCCACGAAAAATGAACATCTGTTTTACATCAATGCACACAGGGACGGTATTTTTACGCTCGGCGCATTTGCTACTGCCCTAATAACATTGGGGAAAGCATCATCGGGTGTTATTGTAGTTTTTTTAATGCTATTGCTATGCTGCTGCTGTTGCTACCGCTGCATATGAATATTTCCTTAGTCATCGTAACGTTTCACACCTAGCGCAATCCTGCGGGGACTATGGCAGGAGGAAACTGTTAAACATAAACGAGCCACGTGTAGTAGCCATGTTTTTCAGTGCAGATGTTGGATTAGGGTGATTCAAAAAATTCAAACTGAATAATTAACATTATGAACTTCAGTTCTACTTCAATTTCATATGCATAGATTTCTACAGCTCGAAGCAAAACCTTGATTTGGAATGTTATTAATTTATTGAAAATAATCTAGATCACCCTAGCATCCCATAATACGATGTTGTTATGATGCATCCGCTTCGCGCGGCTTTTCCGTGTGATATTGCACGTACCTACATGTGGAGAAAGCACCACTCCGGCTGGCAGCATGAAAACCCAGTTCACGTCCCCCAGAGGCTATTAAAACATAATTATAATGATTTATTCGCGGCACTAGGCAAGCACGGTGAAAAAAAAACGACTCACACTTGAATGCATGCTGATACGTACCCCTAGGGAGTTCTTACTCTGTTGCCGTGAAGTTATGGTACAATTTGTCCGCAGTTGTTGGTTCCTCCTGCTCCCCCCCCCTTTCCCTCCTCTTCTTAAACGCACTCATGCTGGAGAATCGTAGGTACAAGGTACAATTGTCCGGGGCATTTAAATGTCAGTTCAACAAACCGACGTTCCTTTCCTTTTTAAAATCATCATAATCACACCATATTCCAATCTTTGCTGCCGTCCCGTAAACCACGAGTATGTTACGACGACGACGACGACCATACCTACTTTGAGATTGCTTTTCGCAATTTCAGCGAAATGCGAACCATTACTGGGAAGCGATTCGGACGGCAATCTGTGTGTGGGGTTCGGATCAAGCCACACACATGGGCCTCGAGGAGTGTTAAGTATATCAGTGTCACTCGGGAAATGGAGATTTGTTTGTGCGATGGAATTCGTAACGGATGCCATCCTTTCAAAACTGTGCTTGCCGTTGTTTACGTCTAAAATCTGAGGTTATTGTACAGTGCTCCAGAATGAGATTTTAGTCGGAATAGTAATCCCCTTTTGCTGGGATGTTTAGACGTTTGGTGTCTTTGGCAGCGTTGCCAAGAACTAAGAATGGAAAATTTATTTTCCAGGAGAAATCGGAAGATATTTTCGGGGAATATTTGCATTAACTTCTTAAGGATGTTGAAAAAAAACTTCCAGACAGAGAATAAAGAAGTTCGGAAGGAAGTTTGAAGAATGTTCTGATACAAGCCGGGAAAACATCAGAACATCAAATAAAAATACCGAGAAACTTCCGGCGAAAATTTAAAGAAACTTTCGGAGAAAATTGGATGACACATCCCGAGAAAGCCATAAAAGTTTCGGAAATTGGAAGCAAACTCCAGGAACAGCCATTTCCAGGGGAAGCCCGGAAAAATGTTTCGATAGAAGTCGAAAAAAATCCCTATGGAGAATGCTTATGGAGAAAGTTCCAGAGGAATACGAAAGATACTTCTGGAAGAAAGCGATACATACATTCGCTAGAAGTTTAATTGAACTTCCTGGATACAACGGAAGAAAGTTCCCAAAGTAGATGATGATGATGGTCCCACCTCTTACCCCTACAAAGGTTTGAGCTGGACGAGTTATCTTTAAGATAATTAAATATAAACATTTTAACCAGGTTTGCAAACAAAATCGAGCTGGTTACAATTACAGATATAAATGTCCTGTTAAATATGCTATAGGCATCAACCAAAAACATTTAAAGGTGTAGCTAGTTATCAAAAGTCCAAGTATAGTCCTCGACAATACTTCCATTTACACGTGACCTGGGATTTACACGTTTAAGCTTCCGCAGTGCCAGGACTATATCCAAGGAAACGACTTCCAGCCAATCCTTTACTAATTTAAGGCTTTTGCCACAATTTCCACGTATTAGTCATTTATACCTGTATTCCGCGCGCGAGGCTCAAACCATTGTAGACTACTCAAAGTTATTTTTACTATTACTACTACAAAATCAAAAAAACTAAAAATCCATCATCACCATCGAGGCAAACAATGTAGTCTTTTGTATATGCTACACAAATTACTAAAATGTCTTGATGACAGTCTCCATACAAACTAATCCGTTAGTGATAACTTTGTCAAGATACATGATTTATCCATTCATAAAAAATTAACTGCTCAATAAACAGCTTTTACATGTGAAATGCAGCGTCTCTTGAATTCTGTAAGTGTAGTTGCACGCTTGATGTGTCTAGGCATCGAATTGAAAACATTTATACCTTTGAAAAATAATGAATTTTGTGAAGCATTATTCAAAAGATGTGGTGTTCTTACTTCATCCGCGTTTCTAGTGTTATATCTATGAAAATCACTTCCTCTTTCAATCCGATCACACAAATATCGAGGCAGCAAACCGTTAACTACTTTAAAAATGAACACCATAGTCAAAAACACAATTCTTTGCTTCACTGACAGCCATTGCAAAGCGTCCAGCATAAAAGTTGAGGAAGTGAATCTATTACATCTTAAAATCAAACGCATTACTTTATTCTGCAAACGCTGTAATCTCGATATTTGTGTTTCATTGGCCAAAAATAAAATGGAAGGGCAAAAGTCTAGATGAGGGGAGATGATTGATTTGTATAACTGTATTTTACTACCAATAGTTAAATCGTTTTTCAAGCGACATAGGATTCCATACTTCTTGGCAATTTTCTTGATGACATTGCAATATGAGAATTGAACTTGAGTTTGTCATCAATAATCACGCCAAGATATTTAATTTCCTGAACGCGATCAAGTGTCTCATCATCAATAACAACAGAGACATCATCATCTACACGATTCCGCGAAATTACCATGAATTTAGTTTTACTTATATTCAATTTCAATTGTTTATACTTCAACCATCTACTTAGAGAACGCAAATCTTCATTCAAGCGTGAAACGGCTTCTTCTAAATCTTTAGCTGCAATGAATAACACAGTATCGTCAGCAAAAAGATTAATATCACAAAACCGTAAAACTCGTCGCATGTCATTAATATACATAATAAATAAAAGGGGCCCTAATACACTTCCCTGAGGCACTCCAAGGTCATTGTCAACGGGACAAGATACAAAATCATTAAAAACAGTCCTTTGTGTTCTGTCAGATAAATAGCTTTCAAACCATTTGTATGCAGAACCCGAAATTCCAAAGCGCTTGATTGTTCTCAACAATAAGGGCCTAGAAATTGTCTCAAAAGCGCGTTTTAGATCCAAAAACACAGCAACAATCGTATCTTTATGCTCCAAATTTTCTTTCCATTTAGCTAACACTAAGTTTAACGCGGTTTCACAAGAATGGCCTTCCCGGTATCCCGATTGTTCCGGTATCAACAAACAGTTACTATTTAAATATTCTAACAGCTGGCCTTTTACAACAAGTTCTAAAATTTTCTCTAATGTGTGCAACATGTTGATGGGACGAAACTCTTCGGCTTTAATCGTCCCAGCAACTTTTTGTATAGGAACAACTAAAGATTCTTTCCAAATATGCGGCACGTGCCCAGATTGCAATGATTGATTAATAAGGTCCCGCAGAGTGTGTCGAATCTCATGAAAGCAATCTTGAATAACTCTAGCATTAACATTATCTACTCCAGCCGTTTTTCCTAATGAAAAGCAAATATTTTTAAGTTCATCTAATGTAATTGGGTGAAAACCATTAAATCTACAATTACTATTAATCGGCTGTTTTATTTCGTCCGGTTCATTGATCAGTTCAATAGATTGATTGATCAGTGAAACGCTCTCAACGAAATAGTCATTGAACTTAGAAGCAATTACTGGTTCTGACTGTTCTAATATGCCATCAAAAGTTATGGTCCGCGATTTACAATTACTAGGCTTCATCAAAGATTTCAAAATTTTCCATAACTATTTGCTGTTGTTTTGATGCTGATCAATTTTCCTCTGAATATATTCACATCGAGTTTTCTTAATTGATTGTGAATATTTATTACGCGCGACCGTGTACCTATTCCAATGATTATCACTATTCGATCTACAAAACTTTTTGTACCATTTGTCCCGCTTACGTTTAAGACGCAAAAGATCCAAATTGTACCAGCTGTTCGAGTTTTTCAAAGAAACAAACTTTTGTTCAACTAATTTATTGGTACAAGTTTTCAAAACGTTAGTAAGAACAGCTGCATCTTCATCTAAAGTTCCGGTAACTAATGGAAAATCCACGCTTCTCTCAACAAGATTCGAAACAGCTTGCTTCGAATATTTCCTCCAGCACTTCAATTTTACAAAATTATCGTTATCGTTAACACTGTCTAAAACATTAATTACTAAAGTTTCATGATCGGTTATTTTCAAACCAGCTTGAGTAACTGAACTGACAGAATCAAAATTAGAATAAACATGGTCAATCAAAGTTCTACTGTGCCGGGAAATACGCGTACAT